CTTTAGCTCAGGTCATAATCTCGGGGTCCTGGGATCAAGTTCACATCTGGATCCCTGCTCAGCAAGGGGCCTGCTTCTCCCTCTCCCTCTGTCTCTCCCCTGCTTATGCTCCTCTCTCTTTTTCACTTGCTCTCTCAAATAAATAAATTAAAATATTTCAATAAAAAAAAATTCCAAAGCACCAAGAAAAATTCTCTAGAATTTTTTCCTAACCAGGGTTATTCACACAGGTTTTTCCACACCAGGGTTCTTTTTTTTTTTTTTAATTTGCCAGATATTCTTTTAATGAGAATTATAAAAGACCAAAAACATTTTTTGCAAACTGCCTCTTTTTAAACAAATGATTTGCTTTTGATTACAAATACTGTGTAAGACGATGCCTTCTTCTGCAAAACCAATAAATACAAGAACAAATTTTAAACATGTGATTTGTCCAAGATATTTCAAAGAAAGAAAAAAAAAGCCTGATTTTTTTTCAGTATTAAAAAAAATCAGTATTCCCTAATCTTTCAAAGAATAAGTTTAAAGGTATGACTCAACTGGAGAAAGAGAGAGAGAGAGAGAGACAGAAACAGAGACCATCTTACAGCTGATTTAAATAGCTTCTGATAATTCTTCTGCTGTTACCTTTACTTTCTGGAACTTGTATCTTCTCAAAATACTTGAATGTAAAATATTTATAATGAACTGATTAATGGGGGAAAAGAAAATACGTATTGAACACATAATGTATAAACTTTACCATAAATAATTATGCATATCAAAAAGACACTAACTTCAAAAAGGTACCAAAAAAAGTGAGGAAAAACTTGAATTACAGAAAAGAAAGTCCAATTTATTTAATGAAAAACTAGAATAAAAATTAGCAAATACACACAAAAAAATATACACACACAGCAGCACTATGTATTGACTCACAAAGGGGAAAAGCAGTCGTCCAAGACCACTCAACATGGCTTGTCGGTTAAAAGAAAAAAACAAAAAACAAAAAACCCACACACACATATACACACATGCACACGCACACCAACACTTCACACAGGGACCCACTGGACCCTATCAATGAAGTGAGGCACCAAGGAGTTCGTAGTATCTTCCTATTTGCTGTTTTTCCCACTGAGATTGTGTGGGAAAGCTTGAGGATTTTCTCTGCCTCCAAATCTTAACTCTCCTCATGGATAAATGATCCTAATCCTATGATTAAAACAATCTATTTTTAGGGGGGGTGAACTTCCTCCTGAACCACTAAATGAATATCATCATCACCCCCCAGATCGGACCAACCAAGGAGAAAGAGGTAAGGACTGGCTTGGTCATTCCAACAGGAGGTTGCAAAATTTCAATAAGAAAACTTTATCTGTAATTAATTATGAAACAGCACCTACTCCTTGAAATTTTATAATTAACTTTTATTTTCGTATATTCTTATATCTGTTCAAGTTGAAAAACCACCTCATGTCGGTCTATTGGAGAAGAGACGACATTACCAGCTTTGAAATTAGCTTTCTGCAAGTCAGGCTTGCTGATATGCTCTACAGATGGGATGTATTTTCACCCAATCGGGGAATACTTCAAAGCAAACCAAAGCAGCATTGATGGGTTCTTGCAAGCTTTTATTTCATCCTTTATAGAACACTAGTGATGGGCCAGATTTTCAAGAATTTATTTCAAGATCATGCATTTTTGGATTTTTTTTTAAACCTCCAATCATTTTGGTTCACATAGAGGAATTCCAGGGATTCAGGTATTTAAAATGCCCTTGGGCTGATGAACTGAATTCCTTCAGTCTTGTAAGTAAATACAATCAGGTAGCGATGTGAGAGCATCAGTCTGACTGTAAATACCTAACTTTCCCTGCTTGGCTGACCTGTGCCCGGGCCAGAGGCCTAGAAGGCCCAGGGGAGAGTTATTGACTTGGGAATAACAGGCTCTTTCATACCCCAAATGACACTGCTGACCCAACCTCAGTAAGACCTGGGGTTTGACAATTTTTCTAGACATGATGATAGATCTGTGCTGCTGTATTTATACTCTCGCCTGTCCCCTCTGTGATTAATATCAAGCAATAATAAGATGGCTGACCGAGGCTAGGAATGGCATTTGTGACCTTGATTCACCTCATCCTGAGCTCTGCTGGGCTGTGACTAGTGAGGTTCCTGTTCTTTCAACATAGTTTATTACTAAAGTATTAGGTTGAACCATACAAAAGTGATGTTTTTGTAGGTCAAAGTGGGGGGGGGTTCAGTAAAGGTTTTTTTTTTTTTTCCATACCTATAAAACGCTACCAAAAGAACTTTTTTTTTAAATTTTTTTTCAGTATTGTTTTTTTTTCATACCTATAAAACGCTACCAAAAGAACTTCTTTTTTTAAAAATTTTTTTTTCAGTATTGGTTTTTTTTTTTCATACCTATAAAACGCTACCAAAAGAACTTCTTTAAAGGGTTGTTTTTACCATTTTCTTATGGTATAGACATCATGACATCAGTCTAAAATTATTCCTAATACTTCGTTGCTGCTGTTGTTGTGTCCTGCTATTTGTCTTTTTAACTCTAAATGTTGTGGAAGTGGTTTTTATGCTTCTTCCCTTTGTTTCTTGATTATTTTTGCATAATTCAGCAAGGAAAACCAAATATGCCTTTTTTTACACCACCAGCACATTCAACATAATATAGTTTCTAAGCCTAAATCTTTCTTCAATAAATTTTTAAGGAAAGAAATGTGATATTGTTGAGCTGAGTGATCTCGTGACAGCCAAGCAAAACTGTGTCAGCCAGATGACTGCTGGCATTCTCCTGAGTGGTTTACACAATCTCTGGAATAATAACAACACGTCCCCTGCAGTCAGCGTGAGTCCTTTCTTGGTAGATGTATTCACAGTGAATCATATAAATCTTCAATCCCTCACACATATCTCTGTGCAAGGAATTTTCCGGGAACTTCCAGGAAATTATAAAAATGTGAATAAATTCCAAAATGTCAACTTAAAAAAAATATACTCAGCTCTAGGTCACTCCTGGTAGGAAACATCAGAAGAAAGTATCTTTTGATTTTTGTTTGTTTTTAGTAAAGATGATGGATCCATTCAATATTTTGGAGGAAAAAATCCAAAGCACCCTCAAACCCCCCAAATAATTCAAGGCAATAAGAAATATGTGTTTTTGACAACTAGATGCTTGAAGTAACTGCAGGACCTCCACACATTTTCACAACATTAAAAGTCACTGCATAACACAGCTTCAATGCTTTAAGCCACATTTAAAAAAGAAAACTATTCTAGCAGATGGAAGTATGGCTGACTTTATATTTGCTACAAACTTCCTCTTTTAAGCTGGGAAATTCACTTAACCCCTTTTATATTAAATCCTCTAACCTGTGCATTAAATACATAGAGTATTAGTGAAGCGGGAAATCATAAAGACTTTATGTTGAGTTTTATTGATTTTAGTTATTCCCAAATCTTGCTATACCTAATTATCTAAAACTTATGTTGAAAGAAATGTTTAAAAAAAATAAAAATAAAACTTATGTTGAATATGAGCAATACCACTTTTACTGTCACCATCAAAAAAAAGAGTTTCAAGAATCTTAATCAATGAATTAATGTAAACACCTCTGAAAATGTCAGATTCTAAAGATCCAGACGATATTTGTCTTTACCAAATGCTTGAATCTCCCTTTCCCTTTGTTAGCACAAGAATAGTCTTTCCTCTGCTTCAAAATGGGAGAAGGGATAGTTAGTAGAGTATGGAAAAATAGGGCCTTCCTAGTACCGTCCGCTTAGGTGACCGCCAGCTGGTGGAAGAATATGAACTGGAATCATCATCTTTTTGCTGCGTTTCTTTCTGGAAGATACGCTGTCTAGCTTTCTCAATGTGGATGTAGCCAGTGAAGAGCTGTCGTGTCCAACAAGAGGGCTAAGGACCTTCATCTTAATCTCCAGGGAGTAGCTTGCCTGCTAACTGAGAGAGACTCTAGGAAAAGCCTAATTAGCCGATAATGCCTTCAAAACATCCCAACCTGTTCAACCCACTCTCAGAGGATGAGCTTGCCCCAGGCACTCTTCCAGCTTACTACCTGTGCCTCAGACCTACCTACCATCTTTTCCAGGACCAGGGCACAAAACTTAAGAAGCACGAGAAAATTTAGTAGTCAAAATAAGTAATATTTTTTAAAAATCAAAATTAATACAAAAAGTTCACCATGAACAAAAGACCAAAATCGTAAACGGAAACATGATCAACATTACTCCTTGCTCCTTTTGCCTCTGCTCCAACATGGCTTCGCAAGACATACTGATCTTGTCTCTACGTCAAATTTTACCGAGTTTTTTTGGCACCTTCTTCAACTGTGCGCCTAAGGGAAGTCCTGGTTCCTGGCCTCTCTTTCTTTGTTCTCTGTTTTCTGACTAGCTCCCACTCTCACTGGTTCCTGACATACATCACCTCCCAATTCACTCTTTTCTTTCTATTAGCTTCAAGAGGCCAGGGATTGTGACTGTGTGAACCTCACCGAAAGCTGAATTGTTAGCACAGTGCCTGGCACACAGTCACTGATTCATAAGTGCTGTTGAATGATTGGGAGAAAAATCTCCTGAAGCTCAATGCTGTGCGTGGCTTCCTTCCATGGTTACCTGGTTAGAAAAATGTCACTGGCTGGACCCCTACACCAGAGCTTGCTTTAGGTAACACAGACCCTTTCTAGGATTTTCCTAAACACTAGGGACAGAAAGCCAGGAACAATATAAATTGAGGTTTAAGAAAAATCAGAGTTGGTGAACTTAAGTGCACCTCATGGATTCAAACAGAAATTAAAAAGATGATTGACCTTATTAGGGGGAGAAAAAAGCAATTAAAATACTGTTAGGGTGTTGTTTCAAGCAATCTATTTTGCAAAAAATTCCAGGGTATGGCAATTTTTATGATTTGAGCTTTTTTTTTTTTTTTTTTTTGGCCCAGCGATGTCTGAAATTTCTCAAAGTTAGGGTATTCAGAGCACATACCTTCAATGGTACACTGATCAGGGACTGGAATCTTCTTTCTGATTTCCACAGCATATGCTTTTACCTTGCTGAAGTTTTCCTTTAAATGCAAGTAGAGCTTATCTTGGTATTCTACAGGACTTGCAGTTGTTTCTGGAGTTTCTTCCTGGCAGTTTTCTGTAACTGTTTCTGGCAAATTCTCTGATTCTGTGTACACAATAGTTGGGTGTGAAACTGTAGAGTTTCCCAGCTGCGATCTGTCAGAGTTTGCCTTAAAGGGCGACTTGTCATTTCCTTGGCTAAGTGGGTCTGTTTCTGAAACAAAGATGCTGGCTGGCACATCTTCACTCTCTACAACTTCTCCATCGTCTGGACTCAGGCTCTTTGTTAGCACGGTGTGCAAAGCCAAGCTCTTTGACCTGCAGTACAAGCAAGAAGCCAAGACAGGTAAAGAGGTTGAGCTAGCATCCACTGAGAAGGAAAAGAAAGGATAATGATGGTGGGAAAAATTACTTCCTTTAGAGTGTGAAACCGAAAATTGGTGCTCTTAAGAGATTTGATAAAAACACAGACCAGCGACAAGTTATGTAATAAGCCAACGCTTTGAAGATCTAGGCCACCTCTAAAAACAGATTTAAAAATCAATTTCATGGCAAAACTAACTGGAAAATGGCAGACTTACATAGTTATATATATATATATATATTTTTTTTCCCTATGTCTGCTTCTGCTTTTTCATCAGAAAACAAGAGAGGCTTTTGAAGTCATTCTCGATAGAGCACATTTATGTTTAAAAAAGTATTTTTAGGGCAGCCCGGGTGGCTCAGCGGTTTAGCGCTGCCTTCAGCCCAGGGCCTGATCCTGGAGACCTGGGATCGAGTCCCACATCGGGATCCCTACATGGAGCCTGCTTCTCCCTCTGCCTGTGCCTTTGCCTCTCTCTCTCGCTCTCATAAAAACTTTCTAAAAAATAAAAAAAATAAAAAAGTATTTTTAAAAAATAAGCCATAGGTTTGTTTTCCTTTTGTGTTCTCCTTTTAGCATAGCAAGCTTCTTTGGATAATGGACACATGGTGAATGCCATTTCATTCATGAAAAGATGGGGCTTCCGGTGCTATAGGAAAATATTTAAAAACCACCTCACAACAGTGTGATAACAAAACCAGTAGCAAACATGAAGTGCATACTTAACAACAACAACAACAAAAAAAACAAACACCCATGGAAAATTCATACCTGTTAAATCTAATCTCTTTTCTTTCTTCCTTAGAAAACTGGCCCAAACTGTATCTTCTGATAGAGCTAGGAGTATTGCTCTCAACATTTATTTTGTCTTCAAAAGCCTGTATTTTAACTTGCAGCTTTTCATGGTCTTCATTTTCAGCCAAAGTGAGCTTGATTTCTTCCAGCTTCTCAGGGAATGCAACCTCAGTACTGGGGTTTTTCCTGAAGGAATAAAAATTGCATTAGATGGTAGTCACATATACCTGCAGAACAGTGTTACTGTCTATTTAACTGCTTCTTATTCAAAACAGAAAAATTTACCCAATGAATTTATTATTAGTCACTTAGCAAATATTTCTTAAATAACTACAATGCACATAATTTTATTTTTTTAGATTTTAAAGTAATCTCTATACCCAATGTGGGGCTTGAACTCACAACCCCAAGATCAAGAGTTACATGCTCCACCCACTGAGCCAGGTGCCCCCCAATTTTTTTTTAAAGAAAATTATATTTGTTCTAGTTTCCAACATCTATATCATTTCTGTGGCAGGAAATGTGCTCATTGTGGCCACCATCACGGCCAGCCCATCATGGAGGCCTCCCATGTACCTTTTCCTGGCCTATCTCTTCTTTACTGATGGTTGCTATTCTTCTATAAATATCCCTAAACTGATTATAGATTTACTCTATGAAAGACCATCCTATTGAATGAGTGTATGACCTGAATCTTTGGAGAACATTTCTTTGGAGCTGCTGACACCATCCTACCTAGTGTGATGGCCTCTGTTATGTGGCCATCTGCAAGCCGTTGTGTTATACAACTATCATGCACTGGCGGATGTGTGGCCTGCTAGTTGGAGTGGTGTGGGTGGGAGGCTTTCTTCATGCAACCACATAGATCCTCTTCATTCTGATTATCCTTCTATAACCCTAACATCACAGATCACTCTATGTGTGATTTGAACCCTTTGCTCAATCTTGCCCGCACTGATACCCAACTCTTTGTTGCAGCCAACAGTGGATTGATCTATGTGCTAAACTTCCTTTTCTTTTAAAAAGATTTTATTATTTGAGTATAGTTGACACACCATGTTACATTAGTTTCAGGCGAACAACGGACATAGATCTTTGAAATTGTTTCTATAGCTTCTTCTGCCAGAAGTCTATAAACATTGGAGCGTGTGCCAAATTTACATTAGAAGGATTTTTTGAAGAATTCAGAGAATAAAAAGCAGTTTTTATGGTTATCTACTATATTCTTATCCAGTTCTACAAAAGCACAGCTTTCATATGAAATTCATGCCAGACATTTTTTAGAAATATGTTAAGAGATAATTTGTGCTGAAATTGATAGAATAAGAACATTTCAAATGGACTGTGTAAACTCATGGTTTTGTTAATTTTATGACAATCAGTGTGACTCTTTTATGTTATGAAATAAGAAAAATCTTTCTGAATTTTAATATGTTGGAGGAAAGAGATTTTCCATGAATGATATTAATAGTTCCAACCATCTTTTTTACAGTAAAATTTATAAAGCACTTTGTGAGTCATTAAAATGATCTTCTTTAAGGCAGGGGTTGTTTGCAGAATAACTTTGGAACTCCTCTAAGGCCTTAGATAGAGTAGGGCCTTAACATAGGGCCTTAGAGTAAGAGTCCACAGATAAGCTGTAGAAATGGTTCACTGATGCTCACCGAATGCTATATGATTACAGAAAATGTAGTGTGTATTTATCTTCCTTCACCTGCCTGAGCCAGCCTAGAGCTACTTTAATTTTTATTTAACGATCACTATCAAGCATATCATATAGGGTTACTAATTCTTTCTTTATAAATGTAGGGTTAATAATCCCTAGAAATTCATTCATTAGATGGCTTAATGTTTCTGAAGTTTTGTCTATGTGTATTTCCTCAGCCCTCTTTACCATTTTTCCTAGAAGTTGATGAAAAGAGCCTCAAACATACAAAACAATCCTGGCTTTTTCAAACATTATGGCTATTGTCCCCAAAGGGTCAAGGTAAACCTGGCATTGTACATAGGTGAGAGTGAGAAAATACAATTTTGATTTTTTTCATGGCACTGCTTTTTAGGGAAAACTAACATGAAAGTGCTGGTGACAGTTTTGTTTTCAATTACATTCCAGCCATTCTGGGGCCATGTGTGTGGTGGGCACTGGGAAAGGTTGGTTGGCAGCTTTCCTGGGTGGCCTAGAGAGGGGTACTGGCTTTGAGGGAGGGCTCATAGTTTTCAGGCCCTCAGTTTTTAAAATTCCCATTAGTCCAGCCCATGGACAGACATAAATAGTGCCATTGGGAAAGCAAGTAGATCATTCCATAAGTAACTAGGATATTGTTTATTGTCTGATAAGAAATTGCTGAAAAAACTTAAATACATATTTATATAATTTTCATAGGCCTCCTATAGTTTTGCATACATAATGCAGAATTTATTATCCATGCCACACTTTGCTGAAATATACATGGATAGATTTTCAGAATCAGTATATGGGAATAAAGGCTAATCATGAACATGTTTCCCTTTATGACACATATGATACTGGCTGCCCACAAACAGATGGGAGGTTTTGACATCTTCCAGCCAGATGATTCTAAAAACTGAACTTTTACTCCCACTACAAACAAAGATACTACTATCACTGGATGGTATTTTACAAACCATGATGATTATCAAGATCCAGCGGGACTTCTGGGGAACATGGTGGAATAGGAAGATCCTAAGCTCACCTCGTCTCAAGGATACAATTAGGTAACACCCACATCAGCGTAAATAACCCAGAAAATGACCTGGCAGAACAGACTCTCCATAGCTAAATGTAGAGACGAGGCCACATTGAAGAGGGCGGGCAGGGTAGAGACATGGTGGGGGCTAAGTGGACCCATAGGACTATCCATGGAAAAGGGAACACCATGGGCACGAAGAAAAGAAACAGACCCTTAAACCAAACAAATACCCTTGGCATGGGAAACCCATACACGTAAAATGAATCTCCATAATATCTGGCTTTGGAAACCACAGGGGACTAATTTCATGAGTTCTTACAATGAAGGCTTAAACCCTGAACTTTAAAAATCAGCAGGCTCCACTCTGGGAGAGCCAGAGGGCAAGAGGAAACTGAGTTCCTGCCCTTAAGGAGACAGAACAACAAACAGCTCTGCTACAACAAAGAAGTAGCAGGTACAGCATAGAAGTAGCAGTTTGAAAAATGTTTGGTGTATACAGGAAGACTTATTTACTAATCTCAGAGCATGTGAGGGAAGGGCAGAAATGTTCAGCAGACTTCTCCAGGAACAAAGGAGCTGACAACCACCATTTCCCTCCCATGAACCCCAGCCTAGACACACGGACACCTGTAAGAACCAGCAAAGCACAAACATTCCTCACGTAATTTGCTAACTGCATGCCCCATCCCTTCCTGTAGACATGCCCCCTCTAGTTCTGCTGCAGTTTTCTAAAGCAACTCAGGGTCTGCTCCCACAACACTCCTGCACAAACCATGTCAACATCAAAAGTTCCATCCTCACATTCTCCTGCAGACCTACCCACAATGGGCTGGGGGCAGACCTCTGGTCTGAATGCTAGCTGCCAATAAACCTTCTCAGGGGACAATACAGCAAAAGCACACTGCTGATCATTTCTACTGCATCTCTGGCAAAATCCTTGTCTGATTCAACTCAAGACTGAGGCAGACCCAAACTGACCAATAACAACAACACAGGGACCAAACGCTGCCCACAACAGGCAAAGAGAGACAGGGATGAAAGCAAAAGTGGCTCAGACAAAATAGTAGGGCACTTGCAATACACATAAGAGACACCACTGAATTAACAAATTCTGGTGAACAGGAGACATTGCACTGCAGGGCACTACACAACCTCTTTTTATGAGGCCACTACTTTAAAGAGGAGGAAATGAGACTGACTTTCTTAACATATAGAAAAAGCACAGAAAGGGGCACCTGGGTGGCTCGACCAGTTAAGTGTCTAACTCTTGGTTTCAGCTCAAATCAAGATCTGATAGGTCATGAGATCGAGCCCCATACTGGGCTTCACACTCAGTGAGGAATCTGCTTGAAAGATTCTCTCCCTCTGCCCTTCCACTCACTCTCTCTCAAATAAAGAAAGCTTTAAAAAAAGAAAATAAACACAGTTAGACAAAATGAGGAGACAAGGGAATATGTTCCCAATGAAGAACAGGACAAAATCACAGCAAGCAAGCTAAATGAGAGATGAGTAATATGCCTGATAAGGAATTTAAAGTAATAGTCATAAAGAAAGAAAAGAGTAGAGGACTCATTGAAACCCTTAACAAAGAGACAGGAAACATAAGAAAGAATCAGTCAGAGATGAAGAACTCAATAACTGAAAGTAAAAATATACTAGAGGGAATAAATAGTAGACTAGAAGAGCAGAAGAATGGATAGGCAACCTGGAGGACAGAGTAATGGAAAGCAACCAAGCTGAAGAGGAGAGAGAAGAAATGATAATAATAATAATAATAATAATAATAATAATAATAAAAAGACTTAGAGAACTCTACAACACCATCACACATTGTAACATTTACATGATAGGGATACCAGAAGGAGAGGAGAGAGAAAAGGGGGCAAAAATTTTATTTTAAGAAATAATAGCTGAAAATTTCCCAACCTGAGGAAGGAAACAGAAATCCAGAACCAGTAGGCACAGAGAACTCCCAAGAAAACCAACCCAAGGAGTTCCACTCAAAGACATATGGTAATTTAAATGGCAAAAAGTAGTGAAAAAGAATTTTAAAAGCAGCAAGAGGAAAGAAAACATTACATACAAGGGGAACTCTAGAAGGCTATCAGCTGATTTTTCAGCAGAAACTTTAAGGGCTAAAAGAAAGTGGCATAATATATTCAGAGTGTTGAAAGGAAAAAAAAAAAACACAACAACTGAGAATACTCTTTTCAGCAAGTCTATCATTCAGAATAGAAGGAGAGATAAAAGAGTTTCCCAAACAAAACCTAAAGGAATTCATGACCACTAAACTAGTCTGACAAGAAATGTTAAAGAGGACTCTTTTAATGGAAAGGAAAGGATATAAGTAGGAGTAAGAGAAGCAGGAAACACAAGAAACAGTAAAATTCATTTTATCTATAAAAATCAGTCAAGCAACTGATAAAATAAAAGGATATAAAATTTGACACTGTATACCTAAAACAGAGGGATAGA